CAGATTATATTGGTCCGGGAAAATAGACCTCGCTATGGAGTTCCACTCCCAAGCCGTTCGCATAATGAAGGCCGAAGCAAATCGCTTCGTGCGAATGGGAGGAACTTCGACTTCGTGGAAAGGGGAAGGGTGGATCAAATTATACATATAATATAATATTATATTATATTATTACCTCTTGGTAGTGTTGTGTTTCTCTCGGTGAGTAAGGTTCTAGGGCTCCACGGGTTAGGGAGGTTGAGTTGTGGAAAAACATAAAGTTACATGAATGTTCACATTGTGTTCGCGCAAACTTACAGGCAAATTTTTCTCTCTGTAGTCAATTGCCTAAGCGAATTGCATTCGTCTCAAAAACTTCAACAATGGGATGTAGATCCGCAGATAGCATTATAATCGTTGCTTTTAACTTGAGTCCTTCGCATAAAAAATCAAATCGTCAAACTTCGTGAGACAATTAGGTTTCATTCCGAACATTAGCTTTTTTGCGTTAATATAAAAGTACGCAACAGTTGCATTTACTATTTCGAGTCTGCGAAAATTTATATGAAACATGCACCTCAATACGTATCATTGGCTTAAGTAACTTGTCTGTGATTTTGATGAAGAGATGTGCACTGTGTCAAAAATGATTAAATGATTTGCGCAAAGTTTGCACAGAATTTGTGAATCAAGCGTTAATTTATTACAGATTAATGACATCATATTATCATTTATGATGTCTATGTTTTGACAATTATATATTTTGTTTTATTGAATTACAGAGTTCAAATCTAAAGAAAATTAAACTTGAAAAAATTCAACGCGAACCTGCACCAGACGGGATATTTCAACTCTAAAAATTAAATGAAATGAAAATACACTTTATCCCAGTTGACTGATTAAAAATTCTTTTCAAATCGCCCTTATATATTTCTTCCTACCACCTGTTCAGAACATCTTTCTCTCTTTTCCCATCACAATTCTTCTTAGAGATTACTATAACCTAAAATATATAATTCATTCATTTTTGGGGATATTTTTGCCGTTTTTTATATTATAATATAGTGTCTAATGTTATATAGATAATGGTACGGAACATTTCAAGCGCAAGTCTAACTCGCACTCGGCTGGCTGGTCGGCCAATATAATCAAATAATCATTAAAAAACAAAACTGCATTCCACTAAAAAAAGGTATAGTTTCCCTCCTGAAAAGTAGTTTTATGGTATAATTACAATGCATGCGATTGCAAACAGTGCGACTTTTTTCAGGAGCTTATAAGTTTAAACTGATCACATTATACAGATCGCGAGAATTTATAGTTCCGCAATGAAGCAGTCAGTACAATAGTCATTTTTTAAGTACAACTCAAATAAATATGTAAGTAGACACCACAGAGGAGCTCGTTGGCGTAGGTGGTTAGCGCATTCGGATCATGAAAGTTAAGCATCTTTCGCAATGGTTTTTCATTGGATGGCTGACCAAAGACTTTATTAACTTGAGCTCCTCCGTGCTTCGTAAGGAACGTTAAGTCGTTGGTCTCGGCTGCATCTGCAGCCGTTGGAATCAATCAATCCACACTAGGCCCGCATGGTAGCTGAGGAGTGGAGACGGCCCTGTCTTCCTATTCCATCCGTAGGGATAGCCTGTGCCCCAGCAGTGAGGACATTATTAGGCTGATGATGATGAGACACCATTACCACTGACTGACAAAGCATACATTCTACAACTAGTAAAGTATCATCATCATCAGAATATTAATGTCCCCACTGCTGGGGCACGGGCCTTCCCTATGGATGGAATATTGGGCCATGACCCAGCACATGGGCCCAGTGCGGATTGACAGGCGCTAACGACTGCAGATGCAGCCGGGACCAACCGGGCTGGGGAAGATTTTTGGTCACCCATCCAATGACCGACCATTGCGAAAGTTGCTTAGCTTCAACAATCGCAGCCAAATGCGCTAACCACTTGCTCCTTCTTATGTTTATGTAAAACGTATAACGCGAGTTACATTGTGTGTTGTTAGCACTTTCTCAATAAGCAAAAGGTGCACACGATGTCAAATCATATTAACATTTGCTATTGTTATGTGTCAAAGAGACAGGTTCTTGAGGGTTCTTACGTCCACCAGATGAGTGCTAAATATTAAACGAAAAAGTTAGTCATATTAAAAAGGCTATTCTTATTGACTGTGTGTGTCCTGTTCTATATATAACAGTGTTTTTTTTTTGTAATCTGACCAGATCCCATCGCCTCCCCCGTGGAAATCAGGAGGGAAAATCGTGGAAATCAGGACCTTATTCACAGCAGGGATAAAACACTAAAGAATAATGTAATTTGGCCGCGGTCTGCTGAAAGGAATTCGAGATAAATTCGCAGTGTACTTTCTCTCCAAACATGAGGTCTTATATTATCGAGTATACGATTGCGGTCCTCTGGGAAAAATTTTTTTAGCTTATACTTCAAAGGTCCAGGGTGTCCTAAGCTCACTTAAAAACATGTTTCAATAGTGGTTCAAATAAGCATCGCTTTTTTTAAAGAGTTCTTGTTAAGTACTTAAATATAAAAATTGAAAAGGCATGGGTATAGATAACAATTGGAAATATTCGTGATTTAGTATTTATGTAAACAGAAAATGTGTCTATAATCAAAACTACTAATACACCATTAATAAACGATTTATACTTTAGCTTAGCAGAATCGGCACTCTGGGTTCGAATGCAAGTTCCCAGCACGGCCATTTTTTGTGTGCTTGTCCTTTGCTAGAGTATGAGCTTTGCTTAATCTCAGTTTTGAATATTGATGTGAATTATCCAGGATTGTCTATCATTAAAAGTGAGAAACCCGTCTGAGTGGAAATATAAGTTTCCCATACAAACTATGAACCGCTGTTTTACCCCTTTAGGAGGTGAGTTTTGGAAAATCCTTTCTTAGCGCACGCCTACATCATAATAGCTATATGTGTGCCAAATTTCAGCGCAACCCGTACAGTGGTTTGAGCTGTGCGTTGATAGAACCACAAAGTATGTAACGAGAACTAAAAATCAGAATTTGACAAAGACATTTCGGACTCGCAAACGTTACGAATTTGATATTGGTCCGTGCTAAGGGTACAGATAACTCTTTTTGGAGTAAAAATTTTTGCTTCTTAATTTCTAAACTTTTTAGTTAGCTTTAGTATTCTACTGAATGGAAAGAAGGCCACTAGTTTACATCAGCGCTAGAATTCTCACATCTGATTAAAAAAACCGACCAAGCGCGAGTCGAACTCGCGCACCGAGGTTTCCGTACAAATTTATAGGTATATTTATGGTGTAAAGTGGTATAAAGTGATCCTATAAGAGTATCGTATCCTATAGGGCTAAGAGCAGTATATTGTGGTTTCTTTTAGTTTTTTTTTAATTTTCGTACTATAAGTACTATCATAGGGCATTGTGCAACAATCTCTTGAATACTATGTTCGCGTTCACAAATTGACCACATGTATAAGGTTATTTTAGCACATTTGTCATTTTGTAACATGTCATTACTTAACGTTTAGCCTAAGGACATGGTACTATTTTTGTCCCTATTATTATGTTCCCACTGTATAATTTACTTCATATTGTCTTATATTTAAGGTTGAATTTTTAAAGGGATTCGAATGATTATAATGACATTCATGTGAGTAATAGATCTAGTCTCGAGGTGTCCCTTGCGGGGTAGCAGAGTATCGACGGTACAGCGAAATAATTTTAATAAGACGTCAAATATAACGAAGAAAGTATTTTCAATTAAACCAACATAAAATATAAATTTAATCTAAAAAAATATTAAGTACTAGAAAAATAAACCAGGAATCATTTGATCGACAATACAAGTAATTATTTATTTTAATTACTTGTACTATCGAACAATTGGTGCCTGGTGGTCCACTTGCCCCATAATCGCGAAAAAATTACAAAACAGACAAGTTGATTTTAACAGACAATGCGTTTGCACTTAAGACAGTAGGTCTTAATAATAAGGAATCTGTGTAAAAATGAATCAAAGTTTTCGAAATTTTATGTTTGTCTTCAAAGCAATAGATCATGTTATAGACAAAATTGGAATGTAGTTTAAATTTCGAAATCACTTTTAAAATATAAAAAGTAACAGAAACTCTATTGAGTTTTCGACATTTAAGAAAAACGTTTGTAAACTATTAAGGAAATCCTCATTCTATGGACAAAACTCCAAATTTACAAAAATGTAACGTCAAGACGTCAACATTATGTCACAGGGAGGCGGCAAAATCCGACACGTCAAATATGATTGTTCAGTAAATAACGTTTGTTTCCAAGGATACGTAAATTTAAGCGAAATTCACCTTATTGTTTTGCAATGGTTGTATAAAAAAATGAGCTTATGGTGAGTCAAGAATCAAATTGACTGATAGTACTCAAATGATCTTTTATTAAACTTGTTATAATATATGATAATAGGGAGAGTTATTTTGATTGCATATATTCGAAATATAATCGCATTTTAACGATTTATTTACATATATTAAATTTACATAATGACATAATTTTAATTATCAGGTAACAAGCGTATGCAAATCTTCCAACGTATTGATGTAATCAAATGGCACAACTAAAGAAATGTCAGCGCTATCAACTTAAATATCAATTAAAATTATGCATAAACAACAGAAGAATGTGACTATTTTTTTTATTGGAATGATTAATCGAAATTCCAAAATTTCAAAAAAAAAACATTTTTTTGTTGGTTCATGCGAAAATTTTAATCACTCATAATACATTGAAAAAGTCAAAAATATTTGAAATAAGTAGTACTAAATATTACTAGTGTTGTGATCATTTAATCCAACAATCAAAGATGATGTTTTGGTGTTATTCGAACTGATAAAACGATCAAAATTATTACACCCACACTAGACAGTTTAATTGGAGTGATTCAAATTTAACTTTTTAAATAAGTTGTCCTAAAACATTGATTTAAAATAATAGTTCGCCCTTGAATAGTTGTAAAACTTACCTTAAAATTCGAATTTGTTCGTAAATAGAATTAACACCTTAGTCAAACTCAACACAACACAAGCCACTGAGAAAATCCGTCAGATCAAACACGAATATTTTTTTTTTAAAAAAGCACACTTTTTTTAAATAGTTATAATGCGTTACGAACTACGTGCGCAAGGAGAATGTACGCGTGCGAACCATAGAGCACGCTTATAACCTCCTCTACAGAATCTCCCCCATTTTGTCTTGAACTCTGACTTTCTAATTCCATCTCCGAACAAGAGGTCACGCTAAGCTAGTTTCATCCCGTGGGGGGCGAACCTAACAAATTAATGAAGTTTCGGTAATTAGTTAGAATAAAATACATTGCGTTGCACCCGGCTTCACTTGCGCAAATAACACAATGGGAAGCGAAGGCTGCGCTATTGAGATGTCTCAAAAAAATAGTGTTTAGCAGATTACGCAGCTTGCACATGTCAGTAATTGATAGTTCGAGATAAGAAGATGTTAATTTTGGCAAGTTGCGGTTAAGTGAATGAAATATACCTTGAGAAGCTTATACAACTTGATGCAGTTATGTACTGTCGATGTTGGTAACGCGTTGAAGTCTTTTTCATCATGTTTTTTATTCCTTAGTAGCTTTTGATGGTTGGAAGCGTTCCAAAAACACGATATGTGTATTGGAAATATGAAATTCACCACCATAGGTAGTTAATAAATCTTTAAAATATTTTTATTGGGTAAAATATTATTACTACCCTACCATAGGGTAATAATAATATTTCACCCTACTATCAGCTTATTTATATTTTACCCAATAAAAATTTAAGTGTTGAGAATAAACGAAAAATATAAATCTATTTCTCTGTGGAAAGAGAAAGAAAGTGCCTACACACACATAAATATTATATCAGTACTGCAGCTCCTTCAAGGATGACATTGTAAGATTTAATGCATAGAAAATTGGGGAGCATCGGCTAAGTGATACGTGTATACTTTTGTAGTATCTAGAAGTATTCCTTATTTTTCAACCGACGAAAATAACGGAGGAGGTTATCGAGTCAACACGTGTATTTTTTTTTTCATGTATGATTACGCCTTCCTTTTTACATAGTAGGCTGATTTTGAAGATTCCTCATTTTATTGGAATGGGTATACTCCAAAGTTGGTCCCATATTAATTTGGAAAATGTAATCCCTGCTTCTGGGTAGCTTCCCTACATGTGAAGTGCGTGGAGTTTTTTTTCATTCGCAACTTCATCGTGTGGGGTATCGTTGAATAGGTCCTTAAAGTGCAAATTTATTTTTGTTCGAGTAGGTCCCCTCCCTCTAAAAGCTAAACTATTAGCAAAAAATCTAAATAAATCATGATAATAATTCTTTTTATGAAATATCAAAGACAATTATGGCGGTTGAGATATCGATTAGTTTAAGAGGAATATTCGTTCAACTTAGGTGTTAAAAAAAATCTTATCTAATTAAAATTTCTTAGAAGAACATGAAAAGTGACTTAGATGAAGCAATTGCTTAGTTATATCGCGAAAAACCTTCAACAGATTTTGATGCCGTAGTATATTACAGAGTTGTATATTACAAAAATTAAAGCCTCAAAAAATAATAAAATGAAAACTTTTTAGCATAATAATGAAACAACTGAAAAAAATCCTTTTTTAACTTTAGCCAAATTAATATTTGGAGTTGGCGCTATGCCAACCCAAGTAGTAAATGGGACCTCAGATCTATTAGACTTGCATGGCACCTACTCCAAATATTATTTTGACAAAAAAAAAGATTTTCTTTTTTTGAAAGTTTTTTTAGGTGTAATAAAATCATGAAATAACAAATACCGACATAATATTCATATAATTATGACAAGGAGCAAATATAACTTTTTGTACTCATCAAACAATGTCCTTTTTCATCCATAGGGAAGGCCTCTGCATTGTGCATTGAGGATGATAATAGGCTATCTACACTAATATTATAAAGAGGAAAGATTTGATGGTTTGTTTGTATGTATCGAATAGGCTCCGGAACTACTGAACCGATTTAAAATCTTCTTCCACATTTAGAATTCTACATTATCCCTGATTTGAGGATTCCGTATGAAAGCTTCGATTCGTAACCCAATATGTGAAAATAATACCAAAAAATAACGTTATAACGCGTACGCTGCGGAAGTCATTAACAATAGAACAAAGTAATGAACTATTTTTTTATAGAGAACATCAAAATCTACAAAAAATATCCAAGCTACTCTTAATACAGTATATGTCTAACTATTACAGTTATGTCACAACTAGAGGTCCTGAGGTGAAACCACTTTCACCCGTTTTAATTTAAGGAAAAAGGTTATAGTCAATCTTTAAAGATGAACATATGCTTCCGCGAACTTTTTCATAGAACTTTTAAAGGAGAGCAATTCCGTAATACATGATTTTTGTATAACTTTAACCGTTTACCCAGCGCACGCTACGGAAGCTTACAAATAGACTATTTTTACCTGTTTTGCAACATTTGTCATCGATGCTCCAATCCTAATGGTCCTAGCGTGATGTTATAAAGGTAGCATAGTTTTTTTTAATCGGATCAGTATTTAAGGATATTAGCGTTCAAACAAAAAAAAACAAACTCTCCAGCTTTATGATATTAGCTTTATGTTATCTAAGTTTCACGGAAGATTGATAATTATCTGAAAAAGTAATTTTAGTCTACACTACAGCTCTACACCGAAGCGAAGAGAGGGCAGGCCACTAGTCATTAATAAACAACTACCCCTAACAGAAGACGAGACAGAAAGCAGGTGTACAGCCACTGCAGTTTCATCAATTTTGTAAGAAAACTAAAATTATGATATGAATGAATATACATGAATGTATATAATATATGAATTATATTACTACCACAAATAAAATGCATAAAGTGCAAAAATATTTAATAACAGGACAATCATTTTAACTTTTCAGAATTTTTTGTATGAAATTACTTAAACAATGCACTATAAAAGCGGACCTTGGTCTTTAAGCTGACTTTTGACATACCGTGATCGTCATCGTCCTCCATCCTGCTTCTAAGCTTCCATACTTATATTATAAACGAAAAGGAAGATGGAACTTTGTTTGGGAATCCAATTTTTCCACGCAAACGAAGTCGCAGGCACCCTATAGTTTATGATGCCGTAGCGTAGGACAACAATACATCAAAGCTCGCAAAGCTAGCGGTGCGCAGTCATTATATAATATAATTAAGCTATAACGTAAAGTATAATTAAACTGAATCTCATATTCGAAGCTTGAATCTGCATACTTCGTACCGCCAGCGAAAATGAAAATATTTTGCCTAACCGGTTTCCGGCAGCGATGAATAAATCATTTGCAATTTTGTTTTATGTAATAACAAGAACAGATAATGTTATGTTTTTATTTATGCCCGATTAATTTTAAGTCGTGTTTAAAAATTGAACAATTTCCTAAGGATTCTGGCCACTCAGTAGTCACTTCATATTTTTAGTCTCTGACAAATTATAATGTCAACTCAATCACTATTTCAAATATCAATCAGTCCTGTCATGTACGATTTTCGTGAAATTGTGGTAATAATATAATAAATATTTTTTCATCCCACCACCTCGGAAAGTGTAATTTTGCGCTTCGAAATCTGGCTGGAAAATTCTATTTTATTCGCTTGAGCGGCAAAGTAGATTTGAATTTAGAACATCACATATAATGAGTACTCAATATAATTGTAAATTCAAAACGTCATTAAACCTATTTAATGTAACCTCTATGGTGCCAAATTTATGATTAGAACTTTTTAAATTGTGAAAAAATTTAAATTTGGAACCTTCTTGGTTTCTTTGTTTTATTTGCGTGCTTCGCGCCATTCTAGTTTTTCACGTTTTATTGCTTAAATATTTTGTCATTATAAATTGTTTTCTTTTTCATTTTGTCATTTCCTCGCTGAGGTGGGATGAAAAGTTACGTATTGCACTCGAGTGGAAAGATTTTTCACCTTGTGCTCGTTTGTTTCCCTCGCTGACGCTCAGGATTCTAATTTAGAATCACTCGCTGCGCTCGTGATTCAACTTTAGAATCCTTCGCTTGCTCGGTCATCCAAATCGAGCACGCGGTTAAAAAGGAACTTTCCACTCTTGTATAATAAATAACTAATTTCTTCTTACAACAAATTAAGGCACATACAATATAGGTTAAGATACACTTAAACTAAACTATTGTACCAATTTATTAATGATTCTTCTTGAAATAAAATACCAAAAAAATCTACAGAAAATATAACTAGAAAAAATTCGACGCGGACCAGGCAGCAGACGGGACGGGACATCAAGCAGTTACATGCTTAAAAATAAAAATTATACCCAAAAAAAAATGGGTGCGTGTACTTATGTAGGCGCGTGAGAAGTTATCCTTCTTTGGCATCGTTTAAAATTAGTTTTTAATTGCATGCAAATAATTAAATACAATAAATTAATAAAAAGTCTGGAAAAGGACACAGTCAATAAAGTTCAGTTTTAATTTGAAAAAATAAATAAATAATCAAAATATTCAATTAAAATCGCTACTGAATTTAATTTATTAGAACATATGTGATTTGCACTTGTATGAAACTCAAACACGTATTCCGAATATACAAACTAGAAACATGTGGATAAATATTATAAATATGAATACCTATAACTGTTACTTTATTACAAAAAATAAAGATGTGGTTTTTGGTTCTACTACACCAATGGTCAAGAGATGGCGCTGTAGTCTCCTGAATCGCGCTTTAGTTACGTTGTTCCAGATTAATAAATACTTTTGATAGGCCTTCACAATGCAGTCGTTAGCACCCACTAAATAGAAATTCTATTTCTATTTTGTTGGTAGATTTTCTTAATGTGCGGTAAACACAAAAGTAAACAGCATGAAGTTGGTCGCTAAAGCGACCAACTTCATGCTGTTAAAATTTTGTGTTACAGTGATGCGCGCGCATCTTTAAATTTCACTCTCATCATTTTTTCAAAACGCGCCTAAAGAAGTATAACTTCAAAAATACCTAATAATAGAGTGAGAGATGAACAGAATAATCATCACTGCTACTATGTACAATATATCTGAAGCTTTGGCAACAAACAGTAAAAACTTGCCATTCGCCAATCAACAATTATGTAATTAATTTAAAATTATTATTTGAAAAAAAGGGAA